ACTTCCCCTTAACATGATAGCACCTCTAGAACTATTTTTCACCCTATATTAGCACAGCACATCTCAAGAGCTCCAAAATCCGAAGGACACTGCAGATCAAACAGACTATTGTATTTCACAATATTCTTCCAGGGCCATATAGCAAAAAGAGGGGATTTCTTATTGTTCCCAGAAATATAGTGATCCCCCTTTGTATTGAGGAGACCCAAAATTACACTCAGAGACCCGTTTCATTCACAATCCTGAGCCAGAATAGCTAAGGACGGAATCATCTGCGATCGTGAGACCATCTCAACACGTTTTCCAGAATTGCACATGCAATATAACTGCAGCAAATCAAGACTCGTCTCGAGACAGTGTTCAAGAGGGGGATACGAATACAAGCGTTTGCAGCACGGGTGCTTTGCATCTGGGGAACTTGAAAGGTTTAAAATATCCGTAAGGTGTGGATAAAGGGAGCGATCCAGAGGAACAAAACCAAAATAAAAAGACTCGAGTGGCTATCCACGCAAAGCAATCTCAAACCCCATCCCTTCGGAGGCTTCGATCCCCCGTGACTCTAATCCCCATGACCTCAATTACCCGCGTAGACTATTCCAGAGTCCCGCATACCTGTGACTCGACCAAGCGAGCAAGGGCACCTGTCCCGTATGCGCGGCCACCAGCCCCAGGCTCAGCAGCAAAACTCCAGCAACCCACCGCAACGCCATTTTCCTTCCTGTTCCCTTCACGAAGGGTTCTTCTCCTGCGTTCCCGGCCCGCTGCAGCCAATCAGGACCCGGAAGGCCGTTACCGGGTTTAAGAGAACATCCATTTAGAGGACGAGGCGGGACCTTCAAGAGCCAATGGGGATTTTCTTTAGGCTGCCTGATATTTCCTTTCCCGTGATCGGGAGGCTCTTCCCAGTTCAGCAAAACTCGATTTTGAATAGAATAGAATTCTTTATGGGCCAAGTGTGGTTGGACACACAAGGAATTTGCCTTGCCTGTTTATAAAGTCCGTAATCTCTGTGAAGCGGACTTTGGGTCAGGCGGGACGATTATTATTAATATTATTTTAATAAATACAGCCAGGGGCACGGAAGTAGTGGCTTCCACTCCAAAGACTGACTCTGGGGCTTCCTCCAGAATAAAATAGCGTAGAGTAGAATAGGCAACATAGTCTTGCGCCCAAACAGCAGGACACGTGAATTTTGTACTCGTGAGGGGGAAAAAGTGTCAGTGTCGTTTAAAAATCCCTGCCCTCGTTTCCAGATGGAAAAAGGAGGGGCTTTTGGGGGGAGGTGAAAAGAAGTGAAATGTAATTTTGTTCTCTGCTTCGATTTTACCGATTCCGAGGAATGTACAGTATTAAACACCTTCAGAGTGGATTCTTCCGTATGTGGAGGAAATTACATTATGCAGAAATTATATCTTCGTATATAATAACAAGCAACTTGTTAGCGTGGATGTTGTATCTATAATCCCCAAAGCCTCCCGTCATTAACCATTCAGTGAGTGTCAACGAGTTAAGAATTCTAGACTGAGTGAAGAGAGAGAGAGCTAGGTTTAAATTTCCCTTCCATCAAGAAATTCACTGAAAGATTTTGGGCTTGTATTACTGTATAGATAGTCCTCGATTTACAAGGCTTCATTTAGTTACAATGGCATGGAAAAAAGTGACTTATGGCCGTTTTTCACATTTAACAACTGTTACAACATCCCCATGGTCACATTATCAAAATTCAGACACTTGGCAATTGGCTCATAGCTGATGGTTAGTGTCCTTGGGTCATGTGATCCTCTTTTGTCACTTTCTGACAAGCAAAGATAATGGCAAAGCCAGATTCACTTGTTAGTAATTTAACAACTGCAGTGGTTCACTCAACACAGGAGTGTCAAACTCGTGGTGTCATGTCATTACGTGATGTATCGCAACTTTGTCCCACTTTGCTAAAATGGGGGTGGGTCAGAGGTGGTATTCAGACCAGTTCTGGAGAACCGGTAGCAGAAATTCTGAGTAGTTTGAAGAACTGGCAAATACCACTTCTGACTGGTCCCACCCACATCTATTCTCTGCCTCCCGAGTCCCAGCTGATCAGCTGGGTCTTCTTTTGTTGCCCTGCACAGGAGAACAGAGCTGAAAGCAGGTTAGTGGGGTGGCAAGGGAATGGGATTTTGCAGTAAGCTTCCCCCTGGAGTGGGGTGGGAATGGAGATTTTGCAGTATCTTACCAAGCCATGCCCACTAAGCCATGCCATGCCCACCAAACCACGCCCACAGAAACCGGTAGTAAACAAAGTTGAAACCCACCACTGGGGTGGGCGTGGCCAGAGTGTGACGCATCTGGCCCACGAGCCACGAGTTTGACATCCCTGACATAACAGTAAGAAAGGTCATAAATTGGGGCAAAACTCAACCGTCTAACTTAGCACAGAAGCTTTGGGCTCAATTGTGGCTATAGGTCAAGGACTACATGTATCTTAACATAGCTCAGAAGATTGCTGTCATGGAGGGATCCATGGAAGAAAGTTAGGATTGAAATGAATCAAGATCTGTGTTAGGACCTTTGAACAACATTGTAATGTTCTGTATATTGGACATTTATTAAAAACACAGACTTTTCAAGGTCTCAAGCAAGAGAGAAATATGGTGTTTTGCATTATTCAGCAGCAATAGTCCAGGGATAGGAAGCATTGCTTTTTAGCTGCCACTAAGATTTTAATCCTTTTGGCACACATTGCAGGGTACTCTCTTAATTCCTTCACGTCTTAATTCATTTACATGTCTACTCTAGCAACTACTAATGGTTTTCCACATACCACACTTTCTGAACTTAATTCCCAGCCCAGAAGATCTTTTGCAAATCCTATTAAAATGAATGGAATTTGTACATAGATGGACAAGGTCTGGATGGGGGTGGAGGGAAATGGTCTTTTTTGTTCTGCAGTCACCAAAAGCTTATAGGTCGATTTACACAGATGTATCAAGTTGTGAGCTGTAATGTGAAGAATCCCAGATCATAATATACACCTCAGTGATGCTGAATTCCTGATATTATACTTGCAGTAATAATAGATTTACAAAATACTCAATGCCTGATGTCAGTTACGGAGAGACTGAATTTGTAAATGGAATAACAGTAATTAACTAGTATGATAGAAACCTTCAACAGGCATTACAAAGAAAGAGGGAGGGGACATTTCCTTCCCACTGTCCTTAATTAACAAAGCATACAATTTGATAAGAAGCCCTCCTCCCCTTATATAAATCCCACTCATTATATTCACAGGCCTTACCCGGGGCAGTTTTTCTCTGCTAGCTTGATTTCCACTCTATCACTCTAACCACACCCAACACCTGTTGCTTAAGGTTGTTTTACAGGGTTGTGCTTTTAAGCAGAAGTAGCAGTAAGCCTTTAAGATGATTCTTAATTGCCAATATTCTTGCATTGCTATCTGAGTATCAGAGAGGAAGACACCATGTTACAGTGAATATTTTCTCAGTGCTCTATCGAATGTCCCCTAAAATATTGTACTGATCCAACTCCATTTTTTACGGTTTAATGGGGGCAATGGTCGAAGTTTTTAATTACATTTTATGTAAACTGACAGATTACCGTAACAGCTATGACTGTTCAGGATTTTATGAATATCTATTATTAATGGATAATTAGAGAGTTTGATATAGTGGTACAGGTAACCTTGAGCTAGTCTTGACTTCTGAAAAACTTTGCCAAGAAAACTGAAGGGACTTGTCCAAATGTTTCCCAAAATCAGACACAACTAAATGGGGAAAAAAGTCTCTAATTTTGTATTTTTTTCCTGACTTCAATGCCTAAAATCCACTCTGTCTCCATAGTCATGGTGCTTGTACTGTATGTACAGGGTTACATTCATATATCTGATTAAATTTAATCCAGATAAGTTCATGCCAACTTCTTTTGCTTGTTTTTAAAAGTGATGCCTTAACTGTTTTTCACAAGCTACGTATTTGGTGTACTAGTTGGAAAATGGAGGGTCTTTTCCTAGGTGCTTCAATGTGAAACACATTCCTCCCTGCAGAAACCTGAATTATGTGCAGAAAACCTTAATCCCTGGTACTTCCAGAGCTTAACCCAGGCTGCAACAGGTCTGAATCAGTGGTGGTATTCAACTGGTTCTGCCCAGTTCTGGAAGCCAGTAGAAGCGATGAGCAGCGAAGACCGAACCAGTTTTCTCCACTGCTCTAATGGCTCTGCTGTTGGACCCACCTGCCCACCTGGGCTCCCATACTCACCATTATCCACTGAATTTGAAGTGCAGCTGTTTTGCGCAGCACAGAATAGTGCCGCGCGGCACCTGCTTAAGTGACCGAGAGATTGTGCAGGCTTGCAGGAAGCGAGGTAGAATGCCTCTGTACTAGGGGTGGGATTCTACCGGTTTGCACCTATACCGGTTGTTAACATTCTAAGCAGACCGGTTGTTAACATTCTAAGCAGTTCGGAGAACCGGTTGTTAGAAGAAATTACTGGCCTAATCCTGTAAGGAAGGCAGGAAGGAAACATTCTGGTGTTGCTTACAGAAACTGCCTCTCCATTAACCCTTATTACATTCTTGGCAGGACTAGACTTCCTGTCTCTGGACCTTCTCTGGAGTTTTTTTCCCCTCCTTTGCTGGTACTTTGCTTGTGTGGAGTGACCATTCAAATTTACAATGGCACTGAAAAAAGTGACTTATGACTGTTTTTCACACTTACGACTGTTGCAGCATCCCCACTGTCACAGAGGCCAGGCAAGGAGATGCGTGCCTCGTTGTGAGTGATATTGAGTTGGCCATGCCCACCCAGTCACATGATCACCAAGCCACGTCCACCAACTAAGCCATGCCCACAGAACCGGTTAAAAAATTTGAATCCCACCCCTGCGCCTGCACAAAGTGCACGTTTGGTGCACGGGTGCACACAAAGTGTGTGCACGCATGCAAAACGCGCCCACCAAACCACACCCACTGAACCGGTGGCAACAATATTTGAATCCCACCACTGGTCTGATTCATTTATTGGTGGTGGTGGGGTTTTCAAGTATAAAACAATTTGCAAACCAAGAGTCTACAAAAAGAGGAAATGTAGAAAATGCACTATGTATTCCTCTAATGAGTGGAGATATTTGCAAGAACAGGATGGAGATGGATTTCCCTCTCCCCCCCATTCCCTCCTCTTCCTGTTCTTGCATTACCAGCAGTTATCCCAACACCTCTAGGTTCTAGCAAGAGGGAACTACATACAATAGTCCATTGCAAGTCCCTCCCTTTGGGAGGCAGACACCAAAGCCAGTACAGTCAGGAGAGCATGAAGGTCAACAACAAGGTATTGGAGCTCTCATCCAACCTTCAGCATGCAATGCCACTCCATCTTCAACAGGGTGTGGATGGCAGGTGAAGAAATGAGAAAGTTTAACTTAAAAGCGACGAGTTAAAAGTAGTCTGTGCAAAGACATTTCTTGCCATAGACCACGATTGCATAATCCATGTTTCAGTAACAGATCTTCTGCTTAGTCTAGTCAACACTAGCCCTGTAGCTTGAAAGTCTGATGCAATCTCTCAGCCTGTTCCTTTAGGGTCTGGATCTCCTCCTGAACGAAATCAGTCAGGGCTTTGCGCATCTCCATCTACAAGCAGAAAGAGCCAAAATCAACAAAGCAACACAAGCAGACTTATAGTGATTGGTTCCACACACACCATCTTAAGTCATAAACAAAGCTTTGGCTTTGGTTTGGCTGTGTACACACATTCTGAGGAGCCCAACATACACAGACTACATTATGGCTCAGTATAAGCCAATGCCTTGCCACATTTTTTGCTAGAGCCCTAGTGCACAACTTTCCCCAATATGGTGCTTGCCAGATAAAGGGTAGCAATCTAAACATCCCCATCTAGCATGCTCATTGCATTGTCAAGAGTCCAATGTGAATCCTACTAAGGAGACCTCAATAAAGTCAGCTCCAGCAATCTCTTCAGCGACTGGCATAAGATTTAAAGATAATTTCTGGGTTTTTGGGTTTTTTTTTAATGTAATGTCTTGAGCTTCCGTGAAAGCTTTTGTGGTTGTTGCCTGTGGACACCCATGCTTTCAACCTCTGCTGCATAATACTTGTCCTATCACCATCCATGGAGTGAAGTCCTCCCGATATTTTCACTCTGCACTCACCGCCGACTTGTTTTCTGCCCGCAGCCGTTCTAGCAATGGACGGACGCTGAATGGCTTCCCAATTAACACGGTAATTTTCTGTATGGAAGAAAATATCCTGTAATGACACTTTTCTAAGGAGGATTTCTAGATTCAGCGCTCTCCATTTTCACCATTTCCATGCCAATTGGAGCCTCTTCTCCCCATGTCTATCCTGCAACCCCAAACGCCTTACCTGTCCAGTTCGGGGCACGTAAGGGGGTGCATTGGGGAGTACATCATTCATTCCTAGGGGAATTGAAAGACAGAATATTTATTTTTGATCCAAGCCCTGATCCTTGCCAGGAATGTCAAATGACAACATAAAATTCCTACACATGTATATATATACATATGTATAATCTCAAAGAACCTGCAATTCTAAACCACCAGTAGAGGTACTCCTTGACTTATGACCATAACTAAGCCCAAAATTTATGTTGCTAAGTGAGAAATTTGTTAAGTGATTTTTGCCCCATTTTACAACCTCTCTTGTCATAGTTAAGGGACTCACTGCAGTTGTTAAGATGGTGGTTAAATGAATCTGGCTTCCCCATTGACTTTGCTTGTCAGAAAGTCACAAAAGGGGCCACATGACCTTGGGACACAGCAACGGTCGTAAATATGAGTCAGTTGCCAAGCTTCTGAGTTTTGATCACCTGTCTGTGGGGATGCTGCAAAGGTCAGAAGTGTGAAAAACAGTCATAAGGCACTTTTTTCAGCACCGTTGTAACTTTGAATGGTTATCAAAGGAACTGTTGTAAGTTGAGGACTACTGTATTCCATGTTCTTAATGCAGCCAGTTTATATACGTATATATGCTGTCCAAGCTGCAGCCAGCAGGCAACAGAAGTATCCTAGTATTCTTATCCTCTAAGCCCGTGATGGCAAACCTATGGCATGCCTGCCACAAGTGGCACGCAGAGCCATTTGTGCTGGCACGCCAACCGCAGGCAAACTTACCTCACTGCACAGGCACGTGCCTCACAGTTGATTTTTTTTTCCGGTTGGTTTGAGGCCTTTTTTGGACTCCCAGAGGCTTAGGAAAAAGCCTCTGCAAGGCTTTTCAGGACGAATTATAGGCCCGTTTTGTCACTTCTGGTATTACAGGAAGTGACAAAACGGACCTATAATTTATCCTGAAAAGCCTTGCAGAGGCTTTTTCCTAAGCCTCTGGGAGGCCGAAAAAGGCCTCAAACCAGCCCAAAAAATCAGCTGTGAGGCACACTACAGGTAAGAGGGTGGTGGCGGTGGGATTGCATGCGCATGCACAAGGGGTGTAGGGAAGGGGTGTGCATTGTGTTCTGGATGCTGGCACGTGAGTTGCGCGCACGCAATTTTTGGCACAGAAGCCCCAAAAGGTTAGCCACCACTGCTCTAAGCCAAGGGTATCAAACTCACGTCAAAGCAGCATCACGTGACATATCGGGACTTTCCCCCCCTTCACTAAACCAGGTATGGGTGTGGCCAGTGCGTGATGCATCCGGTCTGTGGGCTGGGAGTTTGGCAGCCCTGCTTTAAGCCATCACAAATTACTTCATCAGGTGGTTAACTGACTTGTGAGTTCCTGCCAAGCTTTCTTGAGCACATCTGTTTCGCTTGTAAGACTGTGATAATCCTGAATGAGAAGAGCCACCTCTTCTAATAATAGTCTTCCTACACAGGCGTTAACAGGATTAATAAGGTTGGGGAGAATTATCTCACATTTATTATGGCAACTATAATTTGTAGCCACTGTGCGAATTTTACTTCCCCTTCTCTCCACCTCACCCCACACTTTTGATTTGAGGCCTCACCTATATGCCACAGTGGCAGTATAATGGGGTGCAGACGGCACTCAGCCAGGAGACGGCCAATACCTGGAAGAAAGAAAAAGAAGCAAAATTAAAGGTGACAGAGATACACCAGAATGCGCCTCACTCCTTAGAAAAATACTTACCCCATTTGAAGCGCATGAACTCCTGGGTCATGTTCACTTTACCTGCAAAAGAAAGATGGGAAAAATGTGGAGCAATTGGGTGCACTGCAAGTCCCCCAGTGAGTCTGGCAGTCCAGGTATGACAGCAAGGTGCCATGAAAGGCATCTGTGCCTTCTAACCCCCAGCAATGTCCCAGAACAGCTTTCAGCTACTGTTACCTTCTGGGAACATGTGCACCCAGTCACCACAGTTGAGCTTTTCTAATATATAGTCCATGCCTTTCTGGTAGACTCCGTCTCCTGTGTAAAGAAGGAACAACGTCAAGCTCTTCTATCTCACATGCAAACATTTACACTCGTAGGAGGCTACTAAAGCAGAGGTGGTAGTCAGCAAGTTCTGACCAGTTCTGGAGAACCGGTGGCGGAAATTTTGAGTAGTTCGGAATACCACCTCTGACTGGCCCTGCCCCCATCTATTCTCTGCCTCCCGAGTCCCAGCCAATCGGCTGGGTCTAATTTTGTTGCCCTACACAGGAGAATGGAGCTGGAAAGCAGGTTAGTGGGGTGGGGAGGGAATGGAATTTTGCAGTAACCTTCCCCTGGACGGGGGTGGGAATGGAGATTTTACAATATCCTTCCACTGCCATGCCCACCAGGCCACGCCCATAGAACTGGTAGTAAAATTTTTTGAATCCCACCACTGTCCTAAAGCATATAACCTCAGCCACACTACTTGCCATCCCTCCCTAAGAAAAAAGACAAGTATCTGTAAGATTTTTATTCAGAGAGAGCCTTTTTCCATCTGTAAAGCAACCGGCAATTTTTAGTGGATCTACTCAGCAACAGCAAGATAGTTAGGCTTCTGGGGGGAAATGACAAATTACGCTGCAAAAGTATATTTTAAGAGAAAGATAAGTTACTAAAATGGGTTATACTTGCTATGAAGTTACAAAGTCATTTCTTCATGTATGTTTCTTTTGTTACTACTTTTTATTTTTTATTTTATTTTTCTTTTCTGCATCTTCTATTTTTTAATTGGTATCGATTTTTTATTGTAGTTGTAATTTTAATAAAGATACTATTTAAAACATTATGTCTCTTATTATTTTTATAGAAATGTGACACTGGGAAATAAAAGTCCAAAGACCTCTTGCTGCCTCAATATTTAGTGAGGATCTCAAGATGGAAAATTACGTTTCAGTTTGTTTCAGGCACTTCTGTCCTTGGTCCTGATATCATCTCCAGTTGCATCCCAAGAGCTGCTTGCCTTGGTTAACGAATCCTACAAAAGAGTCCCATGATTCTAATGCACACTCTTTGAAGTGATATTTCTATGGAAAATAGGGTAATTGGTTCTAGCTTGATAGAAATAGGCAATGGAATATTTAAACATAAAAGTTTATATGCATAAATGTTTATATGTATATGTAAATATTACAATAATTTTAACATGAGTTAAATTCAATTTTTAAATCAATCAAATCAAGCAACACTAGCAATAAACCTTGTTCTCCTTATTTTTTTTTTCTTTTACTCTCTTAAATAAACTTAAAAAAATTTTTTCTGAATGGCTACTCTGCCAAGGGGAATGCATTTTTATTGCAATCTTTAATCCATGCGTTAATTGCAATCCTTACTCTATACATCCATGTTCTGTTTCAGTGGCTGTCAAATTACAAAAAGCTGGTACTTTACTTTTTCCTTTTATTTCCCCTTTGTCTTTTATAATATTGCACAGTCTAAATTCAGCCATTCCAACATCTCACCCTATTTTTACCATTGCTATAGCCACGTTTGTGCCATTCAGTTGGATGAAATTTTTGCTCCAATGTAATAATGAGCATCGTCTTTTTTGAATGTGTATTATTTTCTCTATGGAATCTTTCTTTTCTCTATTTTGCACACATGAAATATAGCCGTGTCTAAAATCCCAACTGCAACTGTGCATGCACTACCTTCAATAGCAGACACTCTAGTCTCCCATTAACTGAACTTTGGGTGGCATTAAACATGATCTGCGTTCAATTTTACAATTAGTGCTGAAGTGAATATTGCATTTTTTGAATTCACATTAATTGTGATCTGCCTGTATTCCTCTATCAAGTAAACCAGCTACATACCCCGACAGACAGGAACACATCTCCCAAGGCTAAAGAAATGAGAATGCAGCTCCTTGGTGAAGCAGATATCTGCAGCTGTTGGAGTCCTAAGAGAGCCATAAAAAATATGTCATGGTACTGACATATGTTCACCAAACCCATACAACAGGGACTGAATGGGACCCCTTATTTTTCCAGGGAAAGCCACTCTTCCTCATGATTTACCACCGCATCTTCTGCAAGTTCCAGACGTGTCGTAATCTCAGGATACCTGTAGAAGACACAACATTAATGGGACCAATCCAAACCCATTTCTAGCAAACAGAAAAATAAATGGAGGCATAAAAATATCAGGTGATGTGGGAAAGCTGTTGAAGTAGCTTTGCAGTTGCAGAGAAGAGCCAGTGTTTGATGTCACTGGTTTGATTTAACATGAAAAGGTGGGTAAATTCTTGTTTTTAAAACAAGAAGGAATTTTTCATCTGATTACTTTTGAGTGCAATGTTGTGTAGTATGTTATAATCTATTCCATCTTTTTATATGTAACTCAATAAAGCACGCACACCCTAATACTTTGGCCGTGTATTTTTCCTACAGCAATGATCCTGTAACTGGCCTGCAGTTTACTCAGTCAACTTTCATATCTAAAGGAAAACTAGAACTGGCAATTTCCTGGTTTCTCGACTAGCACCCTACCCACTACTCCAAACTGACTCTCTTATGCCTCACATTTGGTGGTATTGCAGCATTGTTAGTATTTCATTTTTAAAAGTGGACTTGTAATAAAAAATACCCTCAATGAGATTCCAGTTTTAACTCCTAGGTGATTGCCCACCTTAGAAAAGTAAAAGTTGTATTTATTATTCAAACAGGTTGGGATGTTGAAAGCATAGAAGCTTTAACCACACTGAACTTTCTTGAAAGAAAGATGCTTCTGTGAATAATCAAAGTGGGCCTGAACTTATTACAAGCAGTAACAAATTAAACGAGTACCATGGACTCATCATTTTATTTGATCATGATTTGTAAAAAAAGAGGCAGATCGATAAAGATAAATACAGATATATATGAATACTGTTAGATATTGTTTGAGGCAATGAGCAGGAGTGTGAAGATATTTTTGAGAAAGGAATGCAAGAGCCATGTCAACTTTCCTGGGAAAGATAAAAAAATATTGAGAAAGAAAGTTAACATAAATCTGCCTTGATTTTGTTTGGTATAAAATGGGGAAGAAGGATATTGTGGCAAGCTTTCACAATACCCTAGAGTTTCATAGTCCAAGTTTCCTGACCTAGCTCAACTTGAAGGGCTGACAGACAATAACAATTGATTAAGTGACTTAAATATGAGGTCTATTATAGTGTTTTTACCGACTGAGTGTTTGATGTATTAGGCAATGTATCAGAGAAAAATTTGAAAGACAGAAATAACTGAAACCAAATAAACTCTTTAAATGTGCTTTTGTTTCACAGCCCTTGTGAACATTGCCTGATTCAAGATCATACGCACTGGAGACCCTCAACTGCCTTCTTGCTGCAAAAGTAGCAAAACAGAGTAATAAACTTACTCAGAAGTTGGAAATGATTAAATATTTGACCAAATAGGATCCATTAATTACCATACTACTTCCTTTCTCATTTGCTTTTGGCCAAACCCTGAACCATCTGTTTCTAAAAAATTAACAATGTAAGCTCCAGATGTCTGCAATTCCCTCATTTCCTTTCTCCTCTTTCCTTTTTTTCATGTAAAACAATGCATGCCTCACCCCATCTGTTTCAGTGCATCCATAAATCATCCTTGCCTGTATTAATAATGTCACCATTGTTGCTGTTATTGCTAGATGAATTATAATAATCTATATATGATTAATTGTCATAGCAATATTATTTGCATGATAATTTTAAGGCTACAGGCTTATATCTTTAGCCCTTAATAACAGCAAATTAAAATACCTTAATGGAAGATCTGTGAAATGGGAGAAGCATTCCCTTTTGTTTGTTTGACTCCAAATCCTAAAAAAACAATGATCCAATGTCTCAAGGGGGGGGGAATGTTTTTCTCAAACTGGCAGCCCTTTCCTTTCTCATAGCGTACCCCAAAGATGTGGGTCATCCATGCAGGACTGATGGTTGCAGACAGTCAAGAGCGGGGTTCCTGGTTGGCGGTTTTCAATTAGCTCATAAAGAACTTCTTCATTATGGATATTCAGCTTGTTTACATATCCTGAACAAAGGGCAACAAAGCAACAATGTGAAAGGCAGCAAATACAACACTTTAGATAAAGCACTCAAATTGATGTTATTAATTCCACTTATAGAGTTTCCAGGATCTAATTCAGATTTGAACAGAGCAGACAGAATCAGGAATTTAGACTTCTGAATGTCTTGGGTGTTCAAAGAATTTATACATGTCTATCAAGGTTGACTCAGCCTTCCATCCTTCCGAGGTGGGTAAAATGAGGACCCAGATTGTTGGGGGCAATAGGATGACTCTGTAAACTGCTTAGAGAGGGCTTTAAAGCACTGCAAAGTGGTATATAAGTCTAAGTGCTATTGCTATCAAGGAGACCCAAGGTCATAAGCGAAAAGTTATAAACACATTCCAAAAGAAAGGAATGGAAATTATCTCTTCACAGTTGCCAAGAAAACTGCAAACAAACATCCTGGAGTTGAACCTGATCTGAAGAGACTCAAGTCAAGAATTTTGGTGGCTCTTGTTCTCAGACAAAACTGGCTATTGGAAAAGGCAAGGCACATAAACCTATTGAATATGTTGATCAATCCATCTATTTTTTATCCACTCTCTTGTTTTTGCCCCCTGATCTCCTGGGGTTGCTAATCAATTTCCAGAGCTCAGAAAAATGGGACCTCTTCTCCAAAATCTGCACTATACACAGAAGAACTAAGGCATGTGAGACATGAGCTTTTTGCTGTTCGTAACATTCCAAGTACCCTCCCTGACAATGTGGCCAAGGAAGCCCCAAGTCACAGGTTGGCTTGATCAGTCAAGCATCTTTCAATCAGCCATTGGTCAAAACAGAGAAGAGATAATACTCACTGGTCCAGAAGCAGCTATAGGTACCCACTAATCCCATGATCACCCTGCTGGCTAAATTCCATGGCAGACTTGGGGCCTGAGGAAACGGCCATTTCACCTCCAGGGGCATCTTCCCATCCCTGGTGATCCTCTAAAGGCAATGCTGATAGCTGTCCCTGTGAATGGAGAGACAGCAGAGTGTTTTTCAGCCAATGATTTCCATTATATTTGTCAGCTAACAAACTTGTGCCCAATCCTTGCTCTGCTCAGAGGTTTCAGTCTCAACTTGCTACTGGCACCACACCCCTACAGGATCATCTTGCCCAAGGATTGCCACACAACATTAAAAAAAATTGCCCTGTATTGTGCAAGAAGTGGTACAGCCACAGAACAGAAAGCTGGACCAAAAACATCAAAGCCATCTCTCCAGAACCCTGTACAACAATTAAAACACCTCAGATTGGCTTTTTTTCTATTTAAAATTAGTCATCAGAATTAAGCCAAACCACATAATTGAAAGATGCAACTGAAATATAATGGAATGCTTAATGCTAATACTGTATGACACATGGCCACATAGATATATGGCATTTAGAAGCTGATATTAATTATAATTACACCTCCAAGAAAACTATTAACAAAGCATGTCAGTGTCATAGATCCACCCCAACTCCAGAAGAACCAGTTTGGGGAATGAAATGAGGGGCTTATACTATTTTTTGGGAAATAAAAGGTTTTTGAATGCACATCACATGAAATTATATCAAGAACAACATCTGGGAGAAATAAGAAATAATTGGAGGTACAACAGACAATACTCTGGAGTAAACCCACATGTTTTTATTCATCTTTAGATTGGCTTTCCACAGCTTTAGAGATCTGACTCTTAATAATTTCAGGTGCAAGAAAAAACTCCCAATCTCATTTTCTTTCTACATTATCATAGCTTTCTCCTCAGTGTACCAAATATGAGCCTCAGTCTAAGTTACCTTCACAGATATTACTAGATACATAGGCTGCCTGTAGCTATTTTTTAACTTTATACTTTTATCATCATTATTTAGCATTTCCTTTTTTTGGACCAGAGTTAATTAGAATGTTTTCAAGATAGCAGAGAATTCAGGCAACTTCTTCAGTATTTCACTGGAGCAACAAGCCAAGTAAAAAGGTATCATTGCAACTTTTGCTCTGGTTGCTTGCATACAATTCATTCCATAGGAAAATACCCACATCCCAAAATATTACTGAGATACAGGAGAGGAAAAATGAAGAGATGCATAACTCTAAATAAAAGCTGATGGTCGGGTTTTTGCAGAAGAGAACCAGTTTATCTGAGCATCCATTTGGAATTTTGACAGCAGCAATCTTTCAAGGTTCCAAATCCCTTGTAAAGGTAAATACTGAATATGACAGGGGAAAGAGAATGTTGAAGTCATACTACTGCTTTATCCCACACACACACACACACAGAGTCAATCCTGATTTTTTTCCCAGTAAGCCTGTCACTTCCTGCCCTTCTGAATCAACCAGCTGAAGCCACAATACATTTTTCCACCCAGATGCCATTTAACATCATCCGCATCTTCGCCTACTGAAATATAAAGCTTTTGGTCACCCTTCTTTCCCACGTTTCATAACAAGGCTACAGTAAAGTACTGCAGCAGAGAGCAACTCCATTTTCTTCTGCGATATGATTTTTTTTTAAAAGCTTGCATCTCCAGGTTGCCAAGTCACCACCCACCCCCTAACCAAATTCCATTTGATTTTTTACCCCTCCTTCAAAGCAATCCCTGTCTTATCCACCTGTTTCTTGGGTCTAGTCCTCCTTTTTCATCACTTCGCAAAGTCAGTGAACCACACTGAACCACAAAGAGCATCCAATTTAGATAGATAGATAGATAGATAGATAGACAGACAGACAGACAGACTACCTGCTTCTCCCACTCTACAAACCCTCCTCTGGGGTGTTTGCCACCTTGTCGATGCATTAGCGGCCTGCCACAAATTCAAGAGTCCACCTCTCCCATTGAACCTCCATCTGCTATGCAAGGGTTACAAACCACTGAAATACAATACAAGCTCCCACCCCCCAGAGATGGCAGGGGTCTCCAACCTTGGCAACTTTAAGCCTGGCGGACTTCAATTCCCAGAATTCCCGAGTTGAAGTCCTCACAGGCTTAAAATTGCCAAGGTTGGAGACCCCTGCCACAGACGACACTTCTATCCAAAAGTTCATCCCCAGATTACTGCACACGCCTTCTAATCGGATCGTCTCTTCTTTCCTTCCTCCTGACCCCCGCCTGGATCACCCGTCAAATCCCATTCACTCGCCTCCGCTTCCCCGATGCGCGTCCCCTCTCAGTCTCCTCTTCTTTCCTCCGGCGGTGAAGGAGACACGCGCAGCCCCAAGCTTTGCAACCTGTCTTCACGCGTCGCTATCTTCCCAATAGGACTTCCGAGGAAGGAACTCCATCAAGTATTCCCGGGCACGATCCCGTCCCCGCCCCCAGGCTGCTAGAAAAGGTTTTCCCGACTGACGCACTTTCGGAGGAGCCTGCGGAGATAGAGAAAAGGATAGAGGGGTAGAAAGTCTGAGTTTCCGGTCCAATATGTAATGGTTTTAAAAAAAAGAAAAAAGAAAAAAAAAGGTCCTCGCTTCATGGTTCTCTCTAGGCGAGCTGGAAAGGTTTTCGCTCTAGCTTCCTCATCTCTATGGTAAGCGCTCCAAGGACTGTCTTTTGGGAGCTGTGACTTGGAAAACGTTAGATCAATTTTTAGAGGAAGGGTTTTGTTTTATGACTAAAGAGCCGGGGAGTCCAACATTTTGAATAAATGCATGAAGAACTTGAGTTATTTGTAAAAAATAATAAAGACGGGATGCAAATAAATAAATTTAATTTAATAAATCAAATAAATTTAATAAATAAAAAGATCTCTAGATCATTCTCACCCAGCTATTTAATTTCCCCCCCATTTTCTGATCTGAGCATTTGACTTACAGGACATCAAGTCTTTTTCGGCTCCTTGCGATCACACTGATTTTTCTCCAGGACGATCTGTCCCTAAACTGATCTTTCAGGTCCAATTTAATATTGCATCCAGTTTAATATATGTTTATGCCATTTCAAGCTGCAATATTATATACACTTATTATTTGGAAGGACGACGAGTGAAATCAGTGGGTTGCCTTTGGGTAACTATGATAGAACTTGCACTCTATCGTGTATTCATGCAGTTGGCCACCGGTTGTGAGAACCTAAGGCCGTGTGTTTCCCCAAATTGGCAACTTGAAGACATGTTGGGTCCAGAATTCCCCAGCTTAAACCTGACAAGTTTGGGAAACACTGATTAAGGCAGGGGTCTCCAACCTCAGCAACTTTAAAACTTGTGGACTTCTGTTAGATCGGGCAAGGAGAGACACGAGACCAGCTTGACTTTCAGCTCTTTATTGAATGTATAGATCTGTACAAGATCTTGGAGCCGCGGCAGTTCTTTATATAGGAACTGCTTGCGGCTCGCCAGCCAATGACAGCTCTTTGAATCTCCCGCGATCGGCCCGGCCAATCGCGGTCGATTCTTAACGAGCCAATCTCTGCAGTTTGTTCAACCAATCACCTTGCGGCATGGTTAACCAATCGGTTTAGAGTATTTAGAGTATGTTAATATAGAACACCCCTCCCCTCTTGGTTCAGTCCTACATAACGTAGTCCCGTAGGTAGGCGGGGCTCTTTACGTGCCTACTTGACCCGCGCAGCTCAGTTGTTGCTTGGTCTTCGGCTGGTTCGGACGGGATCTTTGTCGCTCTCATTCTTCTCGATGGAACCGCCTGGAAGGGTGAGTCAGGCCTCTCGCTGCAACTCCCACCCGGTCTACCGGGGTCGGTCAAGTTGTCGGCTCCGCTGCTCCCTTCCAGTCTTTCCAGGCTGGTTGAGCTGGCTTGGCTGCTCCTTCCAGGCAAGGCTTCGTGTTGGTTGTCCTCTGCTGGTTCTCTTCTGCCGAAGTCGCCTGCCGGTAAGTATGGCTGGTCTTTTCTGTTTATTGGGTTTGGTTGGTGGTGTTCGGTTTGTTGTTGTGTTCCGGGGAGATTTTCTCTTTCCTTTTGATTAATGTTTGGGGTTTCTCCCCCACGTCTAGTTTTTTTATTTATATCTATTTGTGGTGTTTGTGTGCTGTCCGTGTTATCGATGGTTGTTCTTGACCTTAATTGGTCAATGTGTCATTTCCAGTTTCTTCTGTCTTCTGTTTCCAGTCAGTATGATCGGGGACCTGTCACCTGGGTTATTTTTGCTGGTACCCAGAGAGGGTCCCCTGTAAAATTTTTTGCATAAACCGTGTCTCCCGGAGTAAATGTGCGGTATTTACTCGATGAGTCTGGTGGTTTTTCGGGGTTGTATGTGGGGTGCAGCCTGTCTAGTTTTGATCTCAATTTTCTGTCCATTAGCAGCTCTGCTGGGCTTTTGTTTGTCATCGTGCTGGGCATTATGTGTTGTATCATGAGCATTTTATTGATTTTGTCATGTATGTCTCCGGTATCAATTTTTTCTATTGCCTCTTTTGTGTATCTAATCATTCGTTCCGCCCACCCGTTCGCCGCCAGATGAGCGGGCACTGTCAAAGCATGTCGGATACCCCATTCGGCAATAAATTTTTCAAATGACAATGCCGTGAATTGCGGCCCGTTGTCTGACACTAGCAAGTCTGGTAGTCCATGGGTGGCAAACAGTTTAGTTAGTTTTTTGATAACGGCCTCCGTGGTGGTGGATTTCATGACGCTAACCTCTAGCCAATTTGAGTAAGCATCGACCGTTATTAGAAATGTGTGTCCCTTTGTGGGTCTGGCAAAATCTATATGGACCCTAGACCACGCCCCCCTTGGTGTCTCCCATTCCAGTGTGGGTGCGGAGGGGGGATTTGGTCTGGATTTTTGGGATTTCCCACATGTTGCCACCCATGTTTCAATCTGTTTGTCCATCCCGGGCCACCAAGCGTAACTCCTGGCCAGGGCTTTCATTTTGACTGTGCCGGGGTGCCCCTCATGCAGCATGGTTAACACTCTATTTTGTAATGTCTCTGAAACCACAACTCTGTCCCCCCACAGTATGCAACCCCTTTGTGTGAAAAGTTCAGTTTGTTGGTTCCGGAAGGGTTTAAACTGGTCACCCCCGTTGTTTTCCGGCCACCCTTTTCCCACCCAGTTCAAAATCCACGCCAGTTGCCTGTCTTTATTAGTCTCTTTGGCAATGTCTGACAGAGTCAGGGGTGGGTTGGGTAATGTCTCTATGTGTAGTGAGGATGTTGTGGGTGCTGGGTCGTCTTCCAGGTCCAGTAGAGGTGAGCGGCTCAGTGCGTCTGTGTGTGAGATGCTTTTTCCCGGTCGGTGTATTAGGTGGTAATTGTAGGCGGCAAGGAACTCGAACCACCTTGTCGTTCTTGGCGACAAAATGTTTGGGGTGGCCTTGTTCCCTGCCAGTATTCCTAGTAGCGGTTTATGGTCAGTGATAAGGGAAAAAGTCCTACCGTATAGGTATTCGTGGAACTGCTTCACGCCGGTGATTGCTGCTAGCGCCTCCTTGTCCAGCTGGCTATAATTCCTCTCTGCCTTGGACAATGTCTTTGAGAAAAATGTGATTGGTGCTTCTCTCCCATCTGGCAAAGTGTGGCTTAGGATGGCTCCGACACCAAAGGGTGAAGTGTCACAGGTCATGGTCAATGGTAGGGTTTCGCTGTACTGCATGAGGACTGTGTCTGATGTTAGCAGGTCTTTTATTTTTTGAAAGGCATTTTCTTCCCGCTTTCCCCAGGTCCAGGTGGCTGTTTTGTCCAGCAGCCTATGTAGGGGTTCCGCTGTTGTTGCCTTCTGTGGCAGGAAAACATTGTAAAAATTAATAAGTCCAAGGAAAGCCTGCAGCTCCGTTTTATTCTGAGGTCTAGGGGCTTCTTTGATGGCTTTAACCTTTTTTTCTGTGGGGTGGATTCCGTTTTTATCAACTAGGTACCCCAGGAATTCTACTTTTTCTGTGCATAGTTGGCACTTCTCTTTTCTAACTTTTATCCCTGTGTCTTTAAATTTTTGTAGGACCTCCCTTAGTCAGCTCTCCAATTGATTTTTCTTTTTTGCTGACACCAATACATCATCGAAGTATGGCACCACCCCTTTTATTCCTTGTAATGGTCTCTCCATTAGACTCTGGAACACCCCTGGTGCCACGGTGACTCCGAATTGGAGTCTTTTGCAAAGGAATGTCCCCCCGGTGGGTCACAATGGTTTGCGCCTCAGCAGTCTCGGCATCGACTGGCAGCTGCTGATATGCCTGTGCCAGATTGAGCTTTGCGAAGACTTTTCCTCCCCCCAATGAGTGTAGGAGGTACTGCACTACTGGAACAGGGTAAGCACTTTGCTGCAGCGCATGGTTGAGGGTGGCCTTGTAGTCACCACAGATCCTCATGGACCCGTCCGGTTTAATCGGGGTGACTATTGGGGTTTCCCATCGGGTGTGGTCTATCGGCTCTAGGACTCCTTGTGCGATGAGCTTGTCCAATTGCTCATCAATTTTGGGTTTGAGCGTGAAGGGCACTCGCCGTGGCTTAAGGCGGATTGGGGCAGTGCTCGGGTTCAGGTTAAAAGAGATTGGGGACCCACGGTACTTGCCTAGTTCGCCATTGAAGACCTCCTGGAAATCCATCAAGAGTGTTTCCCCCCAGTTGGTTTCTGCGATGTGGTTGATGCCAGTCACCTCAATCCCCAATGGCGCGAACCACTCCAGTCCCAGCAGGCTTGGGCAGTCTTTATCCACAATAGTGAGTGGAAGCACCTCTGCATTCCCTTTGAAAACTACTTTAAAATGTCCAATCCCGACCACGGGAATCCAGTTTCCCTGGTAATCTTTCAGGGTCAGTTTCTGGTTTTCTAATTTGCGTCTATGTATGGTGGGCACCAGATGCTTAATTGTATTCCACGAGACCATGGAGAGGTAGGATCCGGAATCCACCTCCATCTTGCACGGCTGATCCTCGATGCTTACTTCTACGTGCATTTTTCGGGCATCGATTGTGTTCGAGTGCTCGATGATGACCATCTGGTGGGTCTCTTCCTTATGCCGGGTCTCGCTGAACCGCTTGTTTCTTCCTTCTCGGCTCCACTGGCTCTCTGCATGTCAGTCTCTGGTCCTGGGGGGGGTGCCGTCTCGTCGCCTGGGGCTGTGGTTCCTCTTGTTCCGGCAGACTTTGGTGATGTGCCCCATTTGTCACAGTGCCGGCAAATGGCGTCTAGGAACCAGCACTCTGAACAGGGGTGGTCGCCTCCGCACCTGGCACACTGGAACCCTGACTTACGACATCACTGCTCTCGCCGCTCTTGCCGCTCTCGTTCCGCTTGCAGCCTGTGGATCTCCCCCTCTTCGTCTTCGGTCTTGGAGAAGGAGTTGATGTCCCCGTGGTGTGTGGTTGTGGCTTTGTGGCTTGCTTCCGGTTGCTTCCCCAGGGTTGGTGTCATTTCTGCGGGTGCTGGACGGTCTATTGCGTTCATCAGTCTCATCTTGGCCGCTGACTGTTTCGCTGCCTCGGCTGTGGTTGCTTTGG